AGCAATGTTCGAGTCGAACCTATGGTCGACTCAAACATGCAGCCCATCCTTATTAGTTATCACCCGCTCCCCCTTCCTTAACATCCCTGAAACCTTCTTCACAAGCTGATGTCCTTTGATAAGTTTGATGCCCAATATAACTTAGGGTACTTTAAATTCTTCAATGAAACTGGCTGAAAGATTTGCAAACACTTTGTAAAACTTGCTTGGAACTGGTTCATTTCTACTGGTTTGTAGGGCTGAAACTCTACTGTGCCAGTTATGAAACTAAGTACACCATGAAAAACGATTAGCTATTTAAAAGTCACCTTAACATAACATAGCACTTACCGTATATCATAATGTGTGGTGCACATGCTTATACCTGGTCTAGTCAGATCTGTGGTGGAAATCCTGGTTTCTTTGGCATGTGCTGCATTCACAGGGAAGCCAACATATAAACAGTGTGGCTTTATCAGGCCTGGTTCCCCCAGGCTTTAGTTTGTATGAAGTATGAGAACTTTGTCAAGTGTTCCTGAAGCCCCTTCAGCCCGAGTATAGGAGCGCAGAACACACATCTTAATGAAGACTGTTCTCTTTTACTTTAAAGAGACACTAAACTCAGGAGTTAAATCTTAAAAATGCATTCAAGTACCTACACTATCAACAATGCTGTATCTTATTTGTGTATCACTCGGCTGTAGATCCTCAAATCATCTCTGAATTCATGCTGACACTGTTCTTCCTTCTGGAGGGTGGCTACTTTTGTTCTCCGTGGTCCCTATGTGTGTTGTAAAGTAGTCAACACTCCAAGCTCACTCCCGTGATGGACCACTATCTCACATTTAGTTTACTAATTTGTATTGAGATTGTAGTCTATCACAGGATGGTGAAAAACCTCAGTACTCCACCACTTTGCCTGAGCGGGGTGCTTTAATATTTATATTAATAATATTTAATATTTTTAATGAAAAGAAAAGAAGCATGCACATTCTTGTTTTTTTAAAAGGCACTGTGTATGTATAAAATATTCTTTGCTGCAGCATATTTATATATCTGTATTAAATATTGCCTTTCAAAACTGTCACAAAGGTTGCATTTAGTGTAGAACTGTTCCCTTATGTTACAGTTGAGTGTGCTTTACAGTCAGGTTGTGACATGTAACTAAAGTAGACACTTCTCTACAAATGCAAAGAAATGCTTTCAAAATCAGCCATCCTAGGAAAGATCGTGAAGCCTCATACCAACAGTCATTGAGATCAGTGTTCTGGTCCATAGGAGGGTCTAAAGACTACTAAAGTTACACATAATTATTTAGTTACCTTTATTTCAAAGAAAAAAAAACATGGTGTGCTGTTGCCAAGACAAAACCAATCAGGATCCACCTACAAGGTTTGAGAATATAAGCCAGCATCTGGTTGGCTGGTATGGGCTATTGCAATACTGTTCCTTTAGGCTCCATTGACACCAAAGCGTATTGTTGGGTGTCAACCAGTGGGAAAAGCAAAACAAACTGACAAACCTGCACCCAATTTGATCTTTTGCCATATGTGCTCCAAGATGGAGACTCTCATAGTTTAGAGTTAGGACCGCACTATTTAGAGATGCCTTGACGTGGCTGTGCGGCTTTCAAATTTTCTGAAGAAGACGTGTATCTAAACCTCTGTTTTTAACCTTAGCGGTGAGACAGGTTTTTTTGCATGCTGGCTTGTGAGTGTGCTGGGAAAACCTTTTGCTGTTTAACCAGTGGGACAAAACACTTAACCCCAGGAATCCCATTCAGTTCTATAGCCCCTGTTCACACCTGGGCATTTTGTCACCAGCAGAAATATGCCTGTCACACAAAATACTACATGAGCTACTTTGGGACAGATTCAGCGCGTTTTCACCCCATTGACTCCCATTGCAATTATGTTTGAGCACGTTTTGCCCATGCACATGAATATGCCACAATCTGCTCACAATCTGCTCAATCTGCCACAAAATTAACTCATAAGATGCGTGTTATAGGTGTCGCTTAAGTGTAAATGCAGCCTTATTGTTTGTAATACAGGAGCCTCAATTGGTGATTGCTAAGGTTGTGAAGTATTTGAAGTTAAAAAGTACAATACACAAGTACATAAAGATGGTATGCACAAGTTTATTGATGTTGTAATTAACATTTCTCTCATTACGAATTTCATTGCTTTTAACCAGTATTTACATATACATTTGACTAATTTCATTGGGTGCCAATTTAATTTATAATTTGCAGAACAGTTTTTTGTGCCCACCTCAATAGCAACATAATTAAACATTTTTAAATTGCCTTCCTACAAGAAGTGTCAAAAAAGGATACCCAAACATGACTACAACTTGTAGCAGAGAAGGTAAATGTAAGCTACCATCAAGATACCATGCCACTCTAATGTGCAATTTGTCCACATGTCAAATTTACTGAAGCCTGAGGGTGGACAAGATGGGAAGAAAGACATTTGCTGCCCTGAATGGAAAGTTGGATGACAAATGTGTTCGACGGTTTGAAGGGCTTGGTATACATACCAGGGCACCACTTTGTATCTTGGTCATCTTAAGTTATACTAAAATTGGGCACATCATGTACAAAGATTAGGCTGTGTATATGTACCAAAATGTACCCCTTGCACACTTAAGAAGTCAGTCAGATGATGCAAGAACAAAATTCCAAACCTGTCAGCTTGGCCCTACCAAGCTAAGTATCTGCCTCTGCTTTCCGGATGTCTGGACCAAATGGGTGGATGAACCCAATGACACATCCTTTGACAGATTAAAACATTTCCCATATGTGTATTTCAACTGAATATTCAACTGCTTGTCTACAATCCAGCTTTAAAGAGAACATTTACCTTCCTTTTGAGCTTAACCGACTCTGTCTCTAGATCCTGGGAGTTTGAGGTGGGAGGTCACGTGAAGTCTCACGTTTGCTGCTCATGTGACTGACCTCATGCTGATAACATGCACTCCTAAGTATACATGGCAGCATAACATAACAGATCTGTGTAGTTAAAAAGAATAAACAACTACAGGGCTCTGTGTTTGATACTGCTATGGGTAGTTAGTAGCTGGAAGGCCATATTCATTATTGGCATAGGTTCTAACTATCTGACTCAGGGGGTCTTCTCATCTCTGACTCTTAGATCCAAGGCTCACCTTCAGAGAACTCAAGTAAAGCTAAATAAAGGAGTACATATGTGACTAGTGTTTATTAAGTGGATTTCAGAAGCAGATTTTGGTGCCCCATTTTCAACCAACGAGTCGAATCATGTAAACATTTTCTTTATGTTATTATTTATGTTATTATTTATGTTATTATTTATTTATGTCCTTATTATGTCAAATGAAACATATCAAATTAGTTTTTTTTAGAACTAGCCACAGTATCATGATGGCAGCTATTTGTAGATTTCATTATTACCAAGTTATATGAAATACTTTTTTTTCTTTAATTCACAGTGACAGTTCTTTACAAACAGAAGTATCATCTGTACAAATATAAGTGCTCCATGTGCACATTCTTCTATAATACTGCCGCCTTTCCTTTTTTTGCCATTAGCTTTACATGTGTAGATCACCTTACAAAGGCCATGCAAGCTTTGCGATTGGAAGAAGAGATACCAACCAATTACATTTTTATAGACTTTTTAAACCCTGCTTACATATACTCAAATCAATAAGTCTTTGACTGCCCATCTACTAGTTGATTATGTCTGTATTAGTTCTCTTTTAATTACTCTGTCCTTTAAATGAAGAAGCTGAGAGTATTTTGTTTGCAGTGGGTGACAGATACATAATCAGACAGGAGATACATTTAACAAAGTTGTGCTGGCTACACACACTGGTGATTGCTCACTATCAGTCTCCCTTGTGTCACCCATCTATTAATAGGTCATATTTCTAACAAACATGTCAGGTAAAGTATGGCCAACAATACTTGTTTGAATCAAACAATACTTGCAGGTCTGGCATACCTTAAGTTACCTTAAGTTAAATCACCATTTTCATTTGAATTGTCACATAGCTACTTTGATTTCCCTATAGGTTATATAGAATTAATTTTTTTCTAACATGCAAAAACAAAAAAAAATTCAACAGTAAAACAGCAGCATAGAATAAAATACTTAACATATCCTGTCTGAATAAAAATAATTACACACTGTCTTGGATACAAATTTAAGGAAGCAGGAGGACACTGGGACATGGAGGTGTACAATGCACTTGGAGAAATATGGTGGCTGGTACCACTAACCTTCTCTTGAAAATACTAGTTGTCTGTCTGTGTCTGGCTACTCTAATTCTGACTCACCTACCCAGAACACAGCCAATGAAGTCAGAACTGCTGATTTGGGTGCTTGTTCCAGGTCAGTGACCCAAAGTACTGAAGCCACTGGACTAGCATGATATCCACTTTCAGTGGCAGCTCCCATATATCTCTCAGCATAGACTTCCTTTAAGAAAAGTGGACCTGCAGCAAAAATGGAAAAGCCGAAGAGAGCAATGTGGCATTTAAATATTTGACTCACCGAAGAGCCCTCCATGCAACACCACTGAGTCTTACAATCTGAACTGTTAGGTCATGTAAGCTTAAAGCTTAATTTGGAAAGGTAAAAAGATAAATATAATGAAATTTGGCCTCTCAGGCCTCTGTGCTGACTTCTGGAAGTGCTCATGATTTATCCAGATTGTCCTATGCAACAAAAACAATAACATGGAAAGAAATGCAAGAATGGCAGTTTACCTGTGGTAAAAACCCATTCCCTCAACAACACATTTGATCCATTGTTTAAAGTCCTCTAAATTTAAAAAGGCTTAACCTGTTTCTGTTACTCCACTACTGACTAGTGCGTACAAAGTGTAAACAGTATCAACAAACTTGAAGCTGAGGACCATTAAATATAAACTGCAGTATTACTAAACAAATACAACTGTATGACTATAAAAATACACTAAATATTTAACTATGTGAATTATTTTCCATTCCGCCACAGTGGACTAAAGTCCCATGATGACATCACATTAAAGGAAAACCTCAGATTTCATTCACGTTCACCACATACAGGAGGGCTTAACTGGAGGCGATGTAATCCTTAAAATGTAGCATATGCATCTCCTCGAGCTGCTAAAGCAAAAGCCGGATAGGCTTCGTAGGTGGCATAAGCGGCAAGGTCTTGTCCCAAGGCGACTGCTTGCTTCAGTTGGGTGGCAGCAGCCACTGCAGCTGGTGAGCTAGCTATGGCATATCCTAAAGTTTAAAGTAAGCAAGACATTAAAAACTTGAAGGAATTAGTATATTAGATTATGTATTACCATAGTAACCAAATTCACCAAAGCCCCAAAACAAACTGAATGGTTGGCCAGGATAGAAAATAAGTTCTTGTTTCAGACACTGTCACATGTTAAAGGGAGCCTACCACAGTTGTGGCATCTGATTGGTATATTCCAGAAACAGATTATGTAAATACACATAAAACCGCCTTTATTGCCATAAACTACTGGCAATTAAATAATCCACTAAGGAAAATAGTATAAAAAGAGATTCATAAACAAACAGTATAATACAAACATGTGGTTTGTGAGAGCAAGCAGAGTTGGCTATGCTATAGTGGGAAATATTAAGTAATTTAAATTTGGCATAGACAAAAATTTGGCAGGATAAAAAAACAATTTTTTTTTGTAACATTCATAATGCAGCAGGCACTCTTACAAACAGTCCACAAGGCCTCCACGGGGAAAGATTCTAATCCACTTATATCAGCAGTAACACAAATGATTGATATTTTCAGTTCCAAATCCACAGCAGCAAAAGGTTATCATAGTTTAGCTTCTCTAAATTAAATGTTAAATAAACAGTAAACTTATAATTGTGCCTGCTTCTGTAACTGTTTCAGTATCCAACAGCCTGTGATAAACTTGTTGTCATTGTAGAAATCAGATTGCAATATTGTTTCTAGCAGATAACAAGCTGCACGGTGGTACATTTGTGACTAAAAGATGCCTTTAGAGCGGAACTCCAGGGGAAAAAAACTTTCATATAAACATATTTTCTAATAGTCACAAGGGATATAAATTCACTTTGTGTGCAATAATTGCCTGAGCCAACCTAAAATTTACCCAGTAAAAGTAGCAGTGACATCATCACTGTGCTGCATATAATATACAGAGAGCGGAAATGTGGGAGGGATTCAGCAGGCCCCACCCACTACAGGATGCCTCCAGAAAACTACAGGAGGGGGTGAATTCAAGACCAGTCATTCTGCACAAAGAGAGTGAGCAGCAGTGCCTGGTCTTTATTACAGGAAGCTCCTGCACAAAGACAAAGTTTCACACTGGATTACTGCACAGATCTGGGAGAAATACACAAAGCACACCAATACTAAAGTAACAATACACAGGCCTCATGTATTTAAACAAAAATTGCTTGTCCTGGAGTTCAGCTTTATCTTCTGTTAAACAGATCAGTCATTTCTATTGCTGCTCATATAAGTGGGTCAAAGTATTTTCCACGTTGCAGCTGTGGACAGTGTAAGACTGTTTGCTGCAATTTGAATTTTATAATAGAAGATATAATTTTTTTCAAAGTCTGTGCTAAATATGGATTATTATTGTGGAACTATCTAAACCCCAAAACAAAAATGTAATATATTGAAGTTTGCCAATCCTTATATGTGGTGGCTCCATTCATTTTCTTTTTTTCCAGGCTTTTTTCTTTTATATTCACCTGGCGATTTGGCCAGTAACAGACTGCTGTTCCACTAAGTTTTCAGTAACTGATTTGAAACTTTCTGGCCAACACATCTGGTGGACTACCATCTTCTTGATGTGATCCATCTGCTCTTTTCCAGGGCCAGGTGTCTTTGTCATCAGGCATACAGATCAGAAGCAGCATGGCTTCTGATTGGTCTTTCATGGTAAACTCACTTTAAAAACACAGACATACCCTCAGAATCCATTGGAAACTACCTCTCTGAGAATCAGCAGGTTAGGTTCACTTTAAGCAGTGGCGTCACTAGGGGGATGCGGGTGGTGCAGCCCGCACTCGGGTGACACCATTGGATGGTGACACCAAAATTTATGACAGCCATTTTGGTGTCACCCTCTCTGAAAAGTTGGGCACTCGGTCATGGACCAAGAGTCTGTGTCAGCAACCCTCACCTCCTGCGCATGCGCCAAATCCAGGTCTCTGTGCTGTTCGTAGAACACTTACGCGCATGTGCGTAACACACAGGAAAATGCGCCAAATGGCGCACAGGAAGTGACGCTCAGGAAAACGCGCCAAATGCCGCACCAGAAGTGACGCACTTAATCAGGATTACTTCCCTATTTAAAACCGGCCTGCAGACCTACAGATTGCTGGATTGTTTTCAGCCCCTCCCCGTGTTTCTGTGTCCTGCGATTTCCTGTTCCTGTGAACTGCCGGTCTCCTGGATTTTAAATCCGATACCTTGCCTTGACTACTCTTGATTGCTGCCTGCCACTGACCTTGGACTGAATACTGGACTTCTCTCTGCTCGATCCCTCTGTACCGTCTACACTCTCCTGGTTTGACCTTGGTTTGTTTTGACCCTGTTTTCCGGATTACTCCGGCTCAGCTACAGAAGCAACCTTCTGCTTCCACGGTTTCAACACCACTGGCACCCGTGTCACTCACAATCCACCGGGTCTCTGTCTCCACTTCCAGAGGACTCAGGACACGAGGTGCAAGGGAAGCCTCCTCACACGGTCAGTCTCCCATCAGGTACGTGATAGTCCGACAGTTGCAGGAAAGAGGAGGGGACCCGATGGCAAACCTTATCCCGCCAGGTGAACATCCCCTCCTCCCTCTACCGGCATCCATAACCAAGATGGCCGCCAGCAGGTATCACCATGCTGGCCGTGTACGTGTGATGATGTCATCGAGTACGCACGTGGTGACATCACGCGAATGCGCGATCATATCACAGCGAGGTGTCGCCTGGCACCCGCTCCGGGTGACAGGCGGCTTTGGGATGCCCCTGCCTTTAGGCTTACTATACAGAGAGAACCAATTAATTTATTCAAGGCTTTCATTAAATTAAAACTGTCATGGCAGAAACATAGAAGCTGCCATTGATGACTTCCTACTGAAAACAGCCCCCAATTTTTCTGTGAACAAGTGTACACTTTACCAGATAACAATAAACAATATCCAAAGCCCATAAGGATGAATGAGGAAGGCTGCCAGTTGAGCATGTATGTGCTAAAACGAGAAGATAAACATGATGTAGGATTAGTACACATATTGGAGTTACCGGCAAAGGCTGCTGGTGGCTCAGCTGTCTCTGTTGGGATTCCTAAGGTCTGAAGTGTATACTCTGCTGCATAGTTTTTTGCTTCATCCACAGATATGCAAAGTTTTGGAGGAGTAAATGGGTGGCTATAAAAGCAATATAAAATTTTGCAAATGTTACAGTTGACCTAAATGGTACTTGGCTACTGAAAAGGTATAGGAAAGTTAGAAATAACAAACATATTTTGGGTGATTATTACAGTGTTTTTTTCTTAAAGAGTTCCTCCCTGACTCTCTTATACTAACCTTACCAGCACCCCACTGCTGATTCTTCCTGCACTGCAGCCATCCACAGTACTCACCACTGAAATGAAGGTGCATATGACCACAGGAATTTTTGTGTTTTGTATTGTTGTAAGCCTTCCCAATGTGCGCCCTGCTATAAAGGCCGGTTATAAATTCATGCATGTACCATTTTTTCTAGTTTGCATATGACCACCTCCCCTGTGCCAGTGCTGGAGTCTAGCAGTCAATCCCTAGGCCTGAGTTGTGTCATTTGATATCGGGAGTGACATCACTGCTTCCTTGGGTTTGCTAAGTGCTTACTGTTCTTTCTTGATGTTGAGGGCATGTGGCCTGGTATGGTGTAGGATGGAGGGCTGCATGCTCGTCCCCCCTCCCCCCTTTCCTGCTGCTCAGATTAAGGGTCTAGTAAGGGATTTTTTGGGGGACCCCACAATTTTTTTTGGGGGGGGGGGTTGGTGTTGGAGTCCCCCCTAAAATTCTTACCAGACCTGAAGGGTCTGGTATGAATTGGAGAGGGGATTCCAAGCTGTTTATTTATGTTAATGTTTAACAACATAAATTTATTCAGAATGTTATTCGGAAATTTTTTTGGATGCACCTGAAATTTTCATTCCGGGAAAAAGTCGGATACAAGCGCATTCATTATTTTTTTCATTTGGAAATTCTGATACATCCAAATTTCGGAAAATCTATACAAATGTCTAATATTATCCAATCAAACTCTCAATTTCATGTTTCTAGGATGCAACATACGTTCATGACATATCTTAATATGTGTGATAGGGTGACAGTTATTAATAGAAACATTATTTGTTATTTAGCTCAATGGATATTTTAACATGTCTACACTTAAATGTAAAATAATAATAATAATAAAACACAAATATAGCAAAAAGGTAATATAAATATACATGAAATGAACAGAATACAACAGTTGCAATCTGTCTTAATACTGCACGGCAGTCATCTGAACTAAACATCTGTGCACAAATGAATGTCTAATATAATACACACACTTACATAGCAGGGTTCTGACTAGCAAGGACAGGAATGGTGATTTTATATAGAAACAGTTGTCTCTGGTCTTGACCGATTGCAGAGTGCAGTTGGTATACTGGCTGACCCCAGTTATTTTTTTGACAGATTTCCTCCAGCACCTTTAAAAATAGGAACATGTCTGTGAAGCACGTCAGTTTACATTTTGCTGTACAGAACATATGTATAAAATATAAACCTCTACAATGAACATCCAAACATACAGCGCAAAAATTAATTAAAAGTTTGAAATCTGGGCCATCCAGGGCTAATTCAGATTCTTGTGTAATGAAAACTTGCATTGTGTTAAATGTTAAAATCAAATTTTTCTCTTAAATTCCATTTTTCTCATAATTTAATTCTATAATCTGATTTAATATAAACCTATTTTTAGTACAATATGTGCCTTTTATGCCTGCTATAGATCTTCATGAGAGGAGAAGATTTGTAAACTATATATACAGTATAAGTGATAGGATTCATTTGGTTATTCACTTTTACATATTCTTAGCAAGAATAATTTTAAAATACTTTTCAATGAATGGTAATACTGCAAAAGATTGAGCATTAGTAAATTTTAGATTACAATTTGGAGCTTATTTATTAAATAGTGCCTGTGTAACTAATGGACAACACTGTATATACACTTATAGTATATGAATGTCTACATAAAAAAAGATGTCTGAAACATGCTGAATGTTAATTTAGATGCAGTGCATGATTAAAGACATTTATCTACCATTTCTATAATATTTAGTCATGCCATTAATATTTAGGAGAATGCCAGGTGACCTTGAACATTTCAATATACATTACATCCCTGTCATTTAGTCAGGGCATTTGATGGGTTTCTGTAATTTATTATCTAATTCCAGGATACAGAACACAAAGTTCTGTCCTCTAACTAATGATGCATTTCCTTATCTAGAAATTAAGGCAAAGAGCTTCTCAGCAGATGTGCATGTGGTCAGAAAAATAACATAATGGAAATATCGTATTTGATAATATGCTGTCATACGACACTCTCCTAAAAATAGTTCAAGAAGCAAAATGCTTTTTTTTTGGCAAATGACATCCATTACTATTATTTGTATTACTTACATTAGGCTACTGATTATTATTTTACCAACAGCCTTACATGAACTGTTCATATGTCTTCCTGATTTAACAAGATACTACAGTATGATTCTGTAGAATTATGTTTATTCATTCCTTACAAGGCCACCGAGGCCATGGCCTTGGGAGGGCAGTGAGAAGAGGCGCAGCACAACTTGTCAGGGATGCCGGGTGCAGGACGGTGTATGAACCGATGGTGGGTGGCTCGGTCCCTGTGCTAGGACAGTGGTGCAGGAAATCAATCCTTTGTTATGGCATGTCAGCTGGGAGCCCGAGTGTGTGAGTGTGTTCATCCTCTGTGTGTCTGTGGGGAAAACTCTCCCCTCCCCCGCCCTAGAGATGGGACTTCCTCACTCACACATACCACCGGAGCTGCTATACCTGGTGTCCCCACAGTGAGGCTGCCTTACCCTCTCCATCACTTCAGAATGCCTGTGATTGACTCCTCCATTATAACAGGCTGCCTTACCCTCTCCGTCATCATAGAATGTCTGCCATTACCCTCTCCATTACCACAAGCTGCCTAAATCCCTCCACCCCCAGAAAATGCCCTCCATTAACCCCTCCATAACCAGAGGCTGCCTGCCATTAACCCCTCCATAACTAGAGCCTGTCTGCAAATAACCCCTCCATAACCACAGGCTGCCTGCAATTAACCCCTCCATATTTAGAGACTGCATGATGCCTTAACATAGCTGCCTTATTGCAACATACAGACACAGGATACTTTATCTACGCAAGCTGCTTTATCACAGCCCAGGATAACCTACCTACAGGCTGCCTTATCAGAAGCTGCGGTAACCTCCTGCAGACAACCTTATCCAATACTGCCCTCAGGGCCGGATTCCCCACAAGGCCATCAGGGCCATGGCCTCAGGGCGGCAGGGAGTAGAGGGGCAGCACTGCTTGTAAGTCTATTAAATAGATTTCACCAAATCTCCATTATCTCCACGGTGATTATAGATCTCAGGTACAGCACTGTCAGCGAGAGGGGCTCCCACCCAACAGTGCCGACCCTCCATTACCCACCAACGCTGCACGGAAACATTAGCATACTGGACATTTGCAGCGTCAAAGCCCCAATCACCGTGGAGGTGATAGAGATTCAATGGGATCCACCCAACAGACCGACAAGCTGTCAATAAGCAAGTGGCTGCCTATCAAATAAACCCGCAGCAATTAAAGGCCTCAACGCCACATGCAAATGATTCTGATGCCTCCACACAGCGCCAAAGCAAGAAGCAAAGGGGCAACACCGCCACACAAAAGCCCCTCCCCACCGACAGCGCCACACCCATGGCACCAAGATCCCCAACCACCGCAGGTTTGGCGGGGAGGGGGGCGCATTGAAGAACCTGGCCTTGGGGCAGCAGAAAAAGTAAATCGGCCCTGATAACCTGCCATGACTATTTTTGAAGTATGCACCCCACACAAAGTCTGACAGCAGGATTGAGTCAATCATTTGTGTTTATGGAATATCTCAAGTTAGGGGTGTGCAGGGGTGTGCGGGGCAAGAGTTTTATTAAGCACTATACGCACCTCATGCTTATCCCACTTATTGGACTTATTTAAATAGAAAACAAAAATCAAATATTTCCTTTTGAACACAACAATGTTATTGTAGCTAATAGTACAGTTGTTCCTAAATTCTTTATTTTTTTATAGCTAAAATGTATTTGTGACCATATATATTTTGCCTGAGAAGGCTTTATTTTCTCCTCTTTAAAAATGAAAGATATTATACACTTCAGGACTTACCTGTGGTGCAGGTTTGATGGCTTGTGGCTTTAAAGCACTCATTGGTGTTAGCTCCATTCCTGGCAAAATGTCATAAAGTTTCTCATCTCCCCGCTTGTCTCCTTTCATTTGGTATCCAAAGCAGCCGCGGCCCAGGCCAGTGTATGCCAGGTATCCCCGACCTCCCAGTCCTCTAACTCCCGCAGCCCCTACAGGTACACTCATGTAAATTTCTAGGAATGCAAGAAGGCATCAAACTGTATCAAATCAGCAGAAATCACCCAGATCCACGATATCATGAAAAAGTTAGCCCCGTGTACAGAGAACTTGCTGAAACAATGGAGTTAGCAAACCTTACACACATTAAAAAAAAATGTAACTTGTACTACTGTAGACTGAAGAAATATAGAAATAAAATTAATTTGGATTTTTATTTTGAAAAATCTAAAGTTATCTAATTTTAGACACGCTCAAATCATAGTGTACTGAGAAAAGCGAGCTTGGTATATAATATGTCTTAAAAAAAGTGAGAAAGGTCATCTGCAAGCCTTTATTGGAAAAGACAGTGCAATAAAATAGTGGAATAAAATAGCCAAGTAATCTAAAAAATATTGGAGACTATGGTTACTGATAACAGGAATTATTTTTCTTTATGATCGCTATACATATATACAGGCCTTTTTTGATGGAATGCACCTGTACAGTGTACTTGCTTTTCCTGGCAGTAGTTAGAAGCCAGAATGTTCTGTTTGTATCCACCACAGTCACCCGCTCTGACCCTATTCTCTCTTGGCTCTTTACTGCAACCCAAAGTTTTAACCACTGAACTCCTATTTGCAACTTCCTGAACTATTTACGGCGTCTGCTACAGGGCAACTACATGTCCCAACTTGGCCTTGGTTGACATGTAATGTGTAAAAAAAATATATATATATTTATAGTTACATACTTCTGATCCCCCCCTATTCTGTACAGCTGTGCATTTTAGGCTGTATGGTTTATCAATTCTAAGTTGCTTGTGTGTTGCTGAAAGATACTGGAAATCACATTCTAACACTTTACTTGAATAGCTGAATGCTGCATAGAGGGTAATACAGTATCTATGTTTTACATTATCATGGATAAATATGTTTAGTTATACAGTAGTAAAAAAAGAAAAAAATGCTCCTCCATTGTTTATTCTTATTCAGTGTACACTGGACTGAACTTCATAATAAATTAATGAACAAATTATAACCTTTAGCCTTTTATTTTCTGAACACCATTTTGTAACACATAATGCTGTTTACAATTATATAGAAAAAAGTGTGAGTAAATAATATGCTATGGATTATAACATTAGTTTTAATTATGAGAAGAATTATGTGTGGTCATGAGATGGTCATGACATATAATGATGGCATAAATAATTATTAAGTATTACCTTAGTAAAACTTAATGAAGGTAATTTACAAATAGAGGCAATGATATGAATATTGGGGGAGAAAAGGTGCGTGAGGAGAGAGGCAGGATGAACATTCAGAAGGAAGAACCATGTGAATTATTTTTTTATATCTCTATAGGTTGAACATGATGGGGATGTGTCTTTTTTCAACCCGACTAACTATGTAACTATGGACTGCTGTGAACAGTCGGGAGTGGGCTTTGCTGCCAGTGGGCCAGGAGTCTGGGCTGAGAAGGGAACAGTGTACTGCCATGAGTTGTACCCCTGTCCAGAACTGCAGAGAGGGGTACATAGTTGGGACCCGGAGTTTGTTGCTTTGTGTATAGTCTTATGCTGCAGGACCCAGGAGAGAGAGACAGGCTGCAGGGAGATACTGTGGCAAAGAACTACACTGAGTGGCCAGATTATTATGACCACCTGACATTTGTAGGCAAATTAGCTATAATTAGCTATAATTTCGCGCTGAAGTTGCTAGAGGGCCAGACCATCATAAATAGGGAAGCAGGTTGTTTACCACGACAGTAGAAGTGATTTTTTTTCTGAAGATATGGGTAAACAACGCAATTTAACAGCCTTTGAACGTGGGATGATTGTTGACGCTCTGAGCCATGGGGCGAGTATCAGCAAAACAGCAGAGTTCGTTAAATGTTCAAGAGCAGCTGTTGTTAAAGTGTTTAAAGTGACATTAAAGTCAAAAAGAAATTTCCCTCCCCCCATGTTAATGTTAGCACTTACCTTAAATGATGTCTCTTATTCCGATCTTCTTCTTCTTTCCTGATGTTTTCATCTGTCCCTCCAGCGGTGCGGCGGCTCTCCGATCCAGCGCTGACTGCTCTGTCCCTCCGATCCAGCGGTGTCTCATTGCGGGTGCACGCGTCCATAGACTTACCTTGCGTCTCTGCTCGTCTCCCGGCCGAGAATCTGAACTGCGCATGCGCCTGCCCCAAGATCCTTTGCGGCCGTACGAGCAGTTCCTGATTCTCGGCACGGGAGCACGCAGCGATAACGAGGTAAGCTGAAACCTAGTTAAAGCAGGGTTTTTTTGTTAAAACTTCTTGCCTATATCTACTGCTTGCTAGCAGTAGATATAGGCAAAAAACCGGAGGGTTTAGAACCCCTTTAAAGACTGGACTGTCAGGTGAAAATCTTGGTCGGTACGTGCGAATTGTGGCCGTCAGCCACTAGTCAATGTTCGGGCAGAATGTAGAGTGGCAAGACTGGTACAAGACAACAGAAGGGCAACAGTGCAGTGTCAGATTCCTCGCATCACCTTTCAACATCTCGTGGAGTCACGAGGCGGCCCAACGAAGTCACCTCGTGGAGTCATCTCGTGGCCCAACGAAGAACTGATGGGGTGGTCATAATAATCTGGCCACTCAGTGTATAAGGCAGAGCCACAAAGAACCATGACCAGAACTGTAGAGCTGTGTTCAAGACTTCTGAGAGTGGAACTGATGATTCCTGGTGAAGAGGCCTGAGCTGTGCTGCTGCTGGACTAATGCTTGCTTAAGAAGGGATTCCATGTGCATGGCATGAATTCACACCTGGCATTCAGAGGGGAGTGATCAGGACCAAATCTGTGATGAAAGGTCTTTAGCTGTCTGTTTACTGCACTTGGCTGACTTGGCTTTAGGGCTCCTACAGGAAACCGGGGACCACAACTCCAGCAGACTGCCCATAGCCCACTGGCCAGTAGACTGTAGTTAGGTCATGTAGCTAGGACTAGAGTACTTGTATAGCAGTAATAGGTCCTGAAATTTACTGGTGCCTTTGATGGTTTTTGTATTAATGCTTTTAAGACTAGGTGCACTTCTAGGCGTTTGCAGTTCGCACACTTTTTATGCACATTTTGGCGCATATTTGCTTTTAAAAACGCATGATTTTGCTTTTAAAACCGTGCGTTTCTCCCTGCATAAAGGTGTCTATGGGACCAAAACTGCGCTGCATCCGCCTCAAAATAGCTCCTGCATCTTTTCTCGCAATGGGTGTTTTTCTACATGCAACGCTAAGGCCCTTTTATTGTTTTTTCAGAATACATCATACTTTAGGTGTAACACTGAGTTAGGGTTCAGTCAGGGAGGATCATCCCTGGGCAAAGACAGAAAGACCCATCCAACAGCTCCTTAGGGGTAGCACTACATAACAAAACCAGGTTTAGAAAAAGGTAGGGGTTGGTGGATTGTACAGATCTCCACAAGGTAAGGAGGGTGGGATGGCAGGTTGAATTCTGCTACAACAGGTTTTGTAGAGATGTTTCTCTTGCATTTCTGGGTGGATAGATTACTTTAGCATATGGTTAACATTAGTCTCTCTTTTACTGGGGACAGTCCCCTGCATTTTGTTTACTTTGCACTGAATATCACTGCACGGCAGTGCAGCACACTTATTACTGAACTCTATGTTACTTACTATTAAACGTTGCGTTACTTACAACTGAACTCCGTATTACTTACTACTGAACTCTGTGTTGCTTACTATTGAACTCTATGTTACTTATAAATTAACTCTGTGTTACTTACTATTGAACTCTGTGTTAGTTACTATTGAACTCTACTTACTACTGAACTCTTCGAACTATTAAACTCTGCCATACTTACTATTGAACTCTGTGTTTCTTACTACTGAATTCTGCATTATCTACAACTGACCCCTGCCCTGTGAATAAAAGTGAATGCCAAGTTTCTCACTGAAGCTGCAACACAGTTGAATTCTGTCTGTAATACTTTAAAAAAAACAACTAACAGTATCATTTTCAGGACAAGCTTTCATGGTGTTCCCTTCATCTCGGTCCAAGCAGTACTTTGACTGAGAAGTAGGGAACATCCTGAATGCTTGTCCTGAAAATTAAACTGTTATTGCAAATAAAAAAAGCATCATAGACAGAACTCAGGTGAATGCATGAATATGACTTAAATTACAATTAGCATCACTGAGGCTGAAAAGGTAGGATACGTTGATATTTTAACATTGATAATGACAGCAATGCTGGGGTTCACTTTACTCCATGAAGCAACACACACTTTATTGGCCACACCGCCAATTGTTCAGAAGATCTCCCTCCCAACTATCAATACATATCTTGGCGCTTCTTCTTTGAAATCTGCTTGTTTTGTCTTTATACCTTCAGTGTCTACCTACTGTTCTCAAAGAACCAACTGTTTGAGTACGTGTTAAAAATTGGGATATGATTTGTGGGTGTAGTTAAAAATAGCGGTGTGGTTTGTGGGTGTGGTTACAACTGGGGGGTGTGGTTTAAAAGTGAACACGGTTAGTAGGGTGTCCTCAGATTATATTTGAAAAATCTGGTAACCTTACTTTAGCATTTTAAAGTTTGCCACTGCTGTCACCTTCTTCTGAAAATTATACTGGCTAGTTCTGCCTATAGTGCTGCCTACTGAACTGGAACAAGCATGCATGCAGGGAACTTAGCACTACTGTTTTTCATATTTCTTAAATAGTATTGAATTCACTGGATCAGCGTGTCATATAGGCAACTGGAGCTTTCATATGTAAAGTAATTAACTAATTGTTTAGCCCAGGTTACCACACAAAATGTGGTTTTCCTAAAATATTACAGAGATTTATATGGGGCCTATGCTATGTTACAACTAGCAGCAGCCTGATTTTCAAGTTTGTATAAATAAACCTATCACCAGAGTCCATTAAGACTCTTTTCTCTTTTTCATCCCAAGGAGTAAAGTAGCAAATCAATGTGCAATTAAACACAAACTGTAACCATTTGCTAAGTAACCCTCAGTCAGATAATACCCTGTTTATTGCAAATTGCTTAAAAGTGTTTAAACATGGGTAAAATATTAATCAAATACAGTACTGTAGATATTATCCTAATCCTCGATACATAAGAGAAAGGATTGTCATGGTTTTACAGAGCTCATACTATGCTATTGCTATCATCTCCAATTAAACAAACATCCTATCAACTCAGCAAATACTTTATTGAAAATGATAGGGTCTAATTTACAATGACTTAAATGGGAAAATAGGCCCGACTGTCAACAAGTCTGATGTTAGCCTTTGATGAACCGATGAAAGAAACATAGAGACTACCTTTGCTTATCCATCCTTTTAACACTGCATGTTTTCTGTTGCTTTATTACTTTAAGTAACTGACCTTGGAAAAGTATGCAGATTAGGATTTTGAATTTATCATGACCTTCCTGGTCTACAAAAATGCTTTGGGTCCGGTATTTAAACCAGGGAGTCATTATGGCAGGCATCTAGCATTTTCCAAAGGAGGTTAGCAATCATGATCAGCGAAAGAGAGCACTGTGTGAGTTCTAAACCAGCTTGTTAGTGCTATCCCAGGGCCATGGACTCCTTCCTTGCCCCCATGTGACAGTGTTGGTCCAATTGAAAGATACCAACGCTGTCACGTGGGAGTGGGGGGAGCAAGTTACATGCTTACCAACAGTATCAGAATGTGATGGGTTTTTGAGTTAGCTCATGGGGGGCTGAATAGAAAGCAGAGGGAGTGAAGGAAAATATATGCTGCTTGGGGGTGACACTTTTACTTTGCACTGTATGGCCAACGGTAAGGGTTACTTTAATGTCCACTCATTCACAGGACAATTGCCTCTTAATGATACCATTCCATTTTCATCTTGTTGTCCTTGAATCCTGATTCAAAATTAAATCAGTTATTATAAAGCACACAGCTTCTTCCTGAAGCTAGTGAGCTATTTATTATAACATTTTCCTGCAGTGATGATTAATGTAACATCCATTTTTCATACTGTCTCTAATCTATTTACAAAGTATGGATTTTTGGATACGGAACTTTAGGATTGTTAACTGCTCCCAGTATATTATAAGGGTGACTGATTAGGCGTCTATTTAAATAAATTACACAGAACTAACTCACACTGGGCATCTAAGCACCTAATTCAATTTCTAAATTGTCACATTATGGTTTGCCTTCTCAATTAATAATGATGGCAAAATTTTTACATATAAGTGAGCTTCATTTCATTCAGGGACTGTGCTGTTACCTCTGACTGAAGGAGGACGGATGAGGCCACGGTTGCTGACATAGCCCTTTGCTGGGGGGAAAGGAATACTTGGGATCGTTGCAGCATATGGAGGTGGAGCATAGAAGACAGGAGCTCCAAGATAGGCTGTGTTTGGATCATAGACATGGCCAATGGTATAAGTATATTCTCCTTGTATGGCACCTCCTCTTCCTCCTGTTCCCCTGGTATACCTCACATAACTGTCCTTGTCTACTGGCTTAGCCAAGGTAACTTCTATGGGAGATCCATCTATAATCTAAACAAACATGACAAAATACATATTACAAAGGTAATAGCAGCGCTAGGGTAATCGCTCACCCCCCCCCCCCCAGGCCTATGCTTGGATCAGGGGTCTGGTATGGAATTTTTTTTAGGGGGGACCCCTCATTCCCCCCCATTTTTGGGGGTGAGTTCCTTCTTAAAATTCCTACCAGACCTTAAGGGGCTGGCATGGCTTTGAGGGGGAACCCCCACACACTTTTTTTTGTGTTCACTTTGGACTCCTGGGGATCTAATTTTGAGATTCTTTTGGACCCTTGGTCGGTGGTGCTAGTTGTGGGGGCAGTGAGTTTTTTACTCTTTGCAGTCTCCTGGGGGATGTCAATTGCTCTTTATGTGTAACCCCATACTCATACTGTTAAACTGCAAAACAAGTCAATAACCACTCTTCCACTACTAATGATCAGCTTATTCTGGATACAAGCTTATATGTCATCAGAGTATACAGAAGCTATGTAATATTTTTTGATTGGGTGTTCATATAGTTTCATATACATTATGATAGAACAATCTTTGGAACTTTGTTGATAATTTTTAATGAAAAATAATTTTAACTGTGCTGTTAATGTAAATCAATAAAAGTAATATTTTCATATACTGTCAACACCTTGAAAATTCCACTAAAATTAATATTATTAATATACAGTATGTAATAGGGGTCTGGTGTTTAAACCTTATGACGGATAGGCCGTTCTGTTTATTATCTGTGCCAACAGATTTTCTCTCATTCACTGTGCCTGTACAGTCCTTTTATTGCATATACACTAAATCTTGCCATATCATTTAAATAGAGCTGTACAGGTCACTTCACTATTTGGTCTCCGGCATCTCTGAAACAGCCTTTAGTTCATCTGTGGTAGATTCCATTCTTATCTGAGTAACTAAGTAATTGTTTATTTCGCTCTTTTATTTTCATTCAGCTAGCAAAGTTGTATGTGGAAGAAATGTTTTATGATGTCAGGTCTGTGTTTACACATAATAATGAGGAAATAGAATTGAGCAGCACATGGCAAAAATGTTAACTGACACTTTTTTAGTTACACACAATCAATGTTTCCATTAGCTATGTACACATAGCCTGTGTACACATAGCCTGTGAATGCGCAGATTCTTCCAGATTTAGTCTCCGTGCACACATTAGCATTTTTCTGCACGTATTTGTACATGTGGAATTGCGCAAAACACAAAACCCAGATATTTTAATGTAGCTAATTCACACGTGTGCGCCATATGTGTGGCACAAAAAATGCGCACCGTGCAAAAATGTACATTCTGGGTGACTTCCACGCGCTCCAGCTATAGTAGTAGCTGCAAACAAGCGTACAAACGCATGGAAAACTGTGCTGAAATAAGAAATGCGTTGTGTGAACGGAGCTAACCCTGCTGCACACTCTTTGACGACCTATGGACATGGAGTCACTTTTTTTTTACATACTGTGAAGTTTTTATACACACTTGTACATTGATGCTTGTTCATGCTGTAAGCAGCAATATATCCTTATACTTGTAGTAAATTGAACAAATGTGTGCTCGCAATGGTCAACAGAACATACCATCTTTAGGGTCATCGGAGCAGACTGCAGAGTATACAGAGCTCCTGGTAGGGCAGTGCATATATCAGAACCTAGATCAACTACTATATTGTAGCCCATAGGAGCACTACCTTGACCCCTGCAAAATACAGTTTTAAAATGTATTTCATAGATCGATGCTGAAATGTGAACTATGTTTTAAAGTGTTTTAAAGTGTACAGGAGTAATGGTTGACCAGTAGCCAAGGGCTTTCAACCAGATTAAAAGAGTAATGAGGTGATCCAATTTAATAGAGATGTCCATTTAGCAGTTTGGCTAACTCTAAATCATAACTTACAACACTAGCAAGATAATAGTGTTATGCACAGTATGTAGATAACGTTTTATAATCTCATGAATAAGTGGCCACTTAAGTATATTTGTGGATGTGTGCATATTTGTTGTCTTTTCACTCTTCTTTCTTTGTTCTGTTCTGCATTGAACAGATCTTTGACCTTTGTTCCATAATTGGCACCACACATCTATGGTTGCTAGTGAGGCTTGAATATCTGGACTTTTGTAAATCATCTGTGGTAGCACAGAGACCTTTTTTTTTTCTGTGAGCACCTTACAGGTTCAATTAATGAATTCCCTATACACAGCAGCAGCAGCAAACAGTAGTATGAAAGGCAAACTGATCATTTTGTTGTAGACTTTGATTTGAACCTTTATCACAGATGAATGCCATCATAATCAGCATTTTTGTTCAGATCTTAACTATATCAAAGATGTGCCATTTCAGCAGATATCTTACCTTGCCATTTAAAGCATTCATGGCGTCAACAGCATCATTGCGATTGTTAAAGTGTACAAAGGCATAATCTCTAATTTTCTTCACCCGTTCAACTGAACCTATACATAAAAAATGAAAATGATTAAATATCCCTATATGAATACATGAAACAGGACAGGGTTTAACTAATGTGTTAAAAAGGGAAATGTTTTGTGATAACATATGGCAACTGATCACATTTGCTGTTGATGTTCTGATTTGGAATGTAATTCACACTCCATACTTCAGTGAAACTTGGCCCATGTTGTTCTGTTAACAACTATCATTTATGCCCATGGCATAATTTCTGTTTTTAGAACGCAAGACAAAGCCTCACCCCTAATGTCTACATTAAAGGAAACCCATGCCCATAGTAATATGTAAGCTGCCATTCTTCTGAAAATGCTAGTTGCCAGAATAAGTATGCAGCCAGTGAAATCAGAACTCCTGGTCTGCACACTAGTACTGAGTTAGTGACTGGAAGTAATAAAGAGGGGAATTAGCATTACAACCAGTCTTAAGGAAATCAGGATTTGCAGCCTATGTGTATTTCTCATATTGACAGATTTGCTTCACCCCCAATGAAAATATCAAATATAAATGTTGGCTTCAATGACCAATTAGAACATTAAACTGTTTAGTATGGTTGAGAGACAGTATAGACATGCCTTCCTGAATGAGAAGGAGCTGAACCAAGCAAAAACTATACATATGCTATGACAATACATTCTAAATTTCCAGTGTTAGTGGGTATATTTTTAGTTTAAAACTCCCAAAAGAGTTATGTTATTTGGTGCTTTCCTTCAAATGGTAATATGGATTAAGACACTGTTCATCATCTGCTGAGTATGTTTGAATATCTGTTGTTTATTTTGATATGTAGAAGTGGATAGAGTCTTCAAAATCATGCATGTGTCTTTCTAGAGTTGTAAAAATGCCTTCATGGTTGATTACAAGGACAGGACTTTGAAGTCAAAAAGACACGATTCTATTCTGGTCTGATTGCTATCTCCTATCTCCAAGTTGATTTGAGAAGCACATAAATACTTAGATTTATTGCATAGAAATGTATCAACTCACAAAGTTCACAGTTCAAAGTTCTCACACATGCTAATAATAAAGCTGAAGATTCAATATTGTGTGAGAAATTGAATTGCATAAAATCCATAGTAATGGTAAACATCTAAAAGTATTAGGCTTATATTTTTTATCCTAAAAAGTGATTTAACTGAAATGAAATACAATAATCCATGGTAGGTTATAGTTAATCAGTTAACCAAAATGTATTTCATCCAGTCTTACTGTTTAAATTATATCTGAAGAGCAAGCTTTTTTTTTTTTTTAAAGTTTTTTGATAGACTAGGGGATGGTTAAACCCCTGCCAGGTGTCCCATTAAGAAGAATTATGTTCCTATTACTTCCTGTCCCATAGGCACAACAAGAATTAAGAGGAAAGTTCTTCAATATAAGTACCCTCACAGACAGTTGACACCAGAACAAGTGTCCCCATTAGAAAATGTCTCCTTTATACATTTCTTCTTTCTCTATCCAAAAAGAAAACAAAATTCTTGTTCTGTAGATACACTTTAAGTAGATTCCCACAATTAACACACATAAAATCTAAATTCTAAATGATTGGACCTGGTTTAAAAAAAAACAAAACACAACTTCAAAGTGTATGCAAGTCAGTTGCCATATACTAGTTCACTAATAAGAGAATGAAGTTTAACTCTGTACCTGGTTTAATGTTATTGAATTCTCTCTCTACCGTCTCCTCCGCTGTTGTTAACATGAGATTTCTGACATAAAGAATCTTAACTGATGACATTGTATCTTCATCAACTTCAACCTCTGGTTCTGCCCAGTCCACTGCGATTGGATGACCCCATAATTGAATGCGCCCTGCCAATGGAAGAGCAAAATAAATGTATCTGATAAAATTGTGAAACATGTCAGGAAAATGAAAATATGAAATACTCACAGGCTTATTCACAAAAGGGTGAAGAGTTTGGAGAAGACAGGAGAAGTGAACAATACAGCTGTATCGCACTAAAAATCCCCTCAGATATGTTTTAACAGAGAAACCAAACACTTCATAGGCTACCACTGCTGCAAAAGTATAGTGACAAGCAAATGTACACATTAGGGTTATGGTGAGAAGGGATTATAGGAATTAAAAAAAGCCCTCCAACTGAATCAGTGTAGAGCCATCTTAGATCAGAAGATACTTACATGCCTCGTTCCATCACATATCCCCAAATATTACTACCCATTTTATGATAGTGTGGAGCCATGCAAATTGTTCTTTTAATCCCCCTGATACCCAACACATGGCCCGCCACCCCCTCTGTGTGCGGTCCACTCAGTGTTTGGCACAAGGTAAGCATATTAGCTCCAGTGCAGTTAAAATGTAAACAGAGGCTGCCATGTGCAAGCTGCCAGTCCTTAACTGCACACTGGCTCCTGAAGTGCCGGTCACATTCCAACAGTAGGGTCCACATATGTAATAATAATCACCAAGGGATACCACTATGAGTGACTGTCAGGATATGATCTGCCTGTGTAGGGCTCTGCAGCGGCTGTCTGTCCTGCCCTTGTGAAAAATTAGTGTTGAAGAACTTTAAAAAAGTTAAAAGAAACAAGGATTTGTGAGTTAAATTAATGGTTGTAAATGCTCTTTGAATTAGGACCCCCTTCATATATTTGCACATGCTAACATGCTTTGTGTCATGGCAGCCAGTTTGTTTTGAAATTGGTTGGTTTCCCACTTGAACACACTAAAAATCACACATGGCTTTTTCATCACAACACACTGCCATGCATAGGGGCATTTTCTGGTACTGTAAAAATGCATTGGGTTACCATTCAGAATGAATGCCACTCCAACACAGACACACACACACACATCAGTACATGTGTTACTGTGCATTGTGGTAATTTGCAGTAAAACAAGCATTTTACTGTGTATAAATGAACACACATTTTTGACTATTGAGCTTTTTTGCAGCCCTCTGGACATGTGGGAGAATGCACCTGAGGTCCTGTATAATTACTAAATTAACCAACATTGCTTTAGTCCCAGTGGCCCAATGCACATCCAGCATCAATGGATACTGCACCGACGATGACCAAAAAGTATGGAACAGCTGTATGCATTTTGGAATAAATGACCCTATAACATTAGGCTATATTTGCAATACATCAGGGGTTCTGCAAGTGCATTTGGTTGTTGGGGTGCGTATACAAATTATTTGCATGACCCTGCCCACTGTTCTGCAATGAGCAGTAATCCTATTACTTAGAATTATGAAGTGATTTAGCAATGTGGGTATTCGTTTTACTGATTTACAGGACTAATTCTAAAATTGAACTTCTGTTATGACAAAAGTCAAAATTCCACAGTTTTTGTCAAGGTTATGGCAATGCAAATCTGATAAAAGTACAATATGATCGAGACACTGACCCCTGGGGCACATTTTGAAATGTTTCAACTCTGCATACTGTGGTGAACTGACCCTTGGTTGACCCCGCTTCAGGTCTGGATGCTTCCCAGCTGCAGTCTTTTTTACATTGGTTCCAACATTAAGATCAACAAAGCCGGTTAGATTAAAAAAGATAAAAGTTTCTGATTCAGTCCTTTTTGTTCTTGTAGAATCTTTCACATTGGCCACAGATAAGTCCAACAGCTACTCTGTAAACTTAGATTCAGATTATTCTTTTTATTTCACTCCCATTAAAAACATTTTAGTATGAAAGTCATACTTTAGATGTAATGGTAAACAAAAAGTGATTACAGTACAAAGGCTGGAAATCAGAACTATATGTAAATCAAATGTATGATTTTTTTAAATCTCACCTGGTAACAATTTCCGCCTGGCCATAGCTGCAGCACGGTGACTTTCATACTCTACAAAGGCAAATCCACGATTCTTAGATTTATCTGCAGCACTGGGGTAGACAATCACTTCAGTAACACCATCTGTTACTTTCCTCATTTCCACTAAAATTTCTTCTCTCTTCTTGGTCTTTGGGATGCCACCAACAAACAACCTGCAGTTGTCTACACTGGCACAGACCCCCAGAAGTCTCCCATTTCTGTAATATTGATATCATATTAAAATGTTGCTGAGCAATTCAAGTTTACATTAACAGAACCTACACGTGATACCTGACTCACTATATAAAGACCAGTGCACTATGGGTAGAATAACTTTTCAAGTCCACTGAGTTTCTTGGGTTTGACATAGGTGGCCTGCTCTGACAACACAATGAAAATTATTTGTTTGGGTTGGCCTTTTTAAGGTGTACAGTGGAGGGGTCAATAAAAAGTGCTTATTGATGCATTTTATTTTTTACCAAATGTGAAAAATCTCTAACAGGGTTATTCAAAAAAAGGTGAAGAGTTTGGAGACGGCAGAAGAAGTGAACAATCTAGGCCAAAATAGCTGATTTATAAATATTCTCCAATTCAGCTCACTTTCCAGTTCAGCTATGTGGTCCTAGATTGTTCACTTCTCCTGCCTTCTCCAAACTCTTCACCTTTTTGTGAATAACCCTGTAAATGTCTTGGCCAAACTTTCCCTTTCCTTACTGAGGCAGTGATACCACTTCTTCTCACTGATACGGTTGCACATTATCCAGTTGCTGGTACTTGGATGTCCAAAGATGGCCAGGTGTCTGTCATTCCTTATGTTCTAGAGTAAGTAAGACATTGAAAACCACCAACTCATTAGTTGAAATGGGTAAAGATCTAATCCTTCTTTATCTCTGGTTCTCAGAAACTGATCTCTGTAGATTTGAGGAATGTTTCTACCTGCTTAACCCAGTCATAAGCATGCTATAATATATGCCTAATTTAGCCTTATTTTGCTAGATAATGGAACAAACTCACCCAAGAGTCCAGTAGATCTAAAACTGTTCTGGGATAACTGTTGAGTAGTTGATATTCTTCTTTATGTCTCAGATAAGCATTATTAGGAGTCTAGAGTTGTTTTTATTGAGGGTGGACAAATCATGTCTACATATCAAACAGTCCTCTTAAATCTATGGGCACCGTTGCAATGGAGTAGATTTATTAATGTAAGCTAGCATTGGTCCTTTAATAACGTTAATAAAACAAACCAACACTTACTGAGCAGTTTGCTCTTGCTGTGAAAAATCCTCATAAAATAAAAATGTTGGAGATGTTTCTGAAAGAGTTGATCTTAATGGTATACTTAGATTATTTTATCTTCAATAGTTTGTGAATGATATTTCCAGCATTCACTATGCACAAGGCACACAGATTTTTTGACCACCCCTCACCATGCTGCTATATATTCTTCTGTATGTTAAAACTTCTCGAAATAAAGAGTGTAAAAAGAAGTACCATAGTGGGCAAGTGCCTCCTTTTATTTGCCAGTCTGTACTAGAAATAAATGACAGCTGAAAAATGACTGATTACTATGCGCAACAGGAAAAGACTTTCCTGTCAGATACTAATTTATTGTGAAGCTCATTATTGTTCCTGTTAAATAGCTTACATCTGCACCATTAAAAAATACTCAGCCAATTAGAAAAAAAATGTAATTCTTATCAGCTTTCCACCAGAACGAACAAGATTTTTCCAACTTTTAAAACTGAGAATTTTCGTCATGTGAACAAGTGTTGTAAATTAGGGAGATTGTTAAACCATAAACTGCATGGCTTTAACACTATCTCTTGAGGATTAACATTTATTACTGGTAACAACATATGCATATGTGTCATTTTTAAGATTACTCACCGAATTTCATAATTATTTAGTTGTTTAATTGCATTCTTGGCATCCTGTCTGTTGGTGAAGGTTACAAATGCATACCCCCTATTATTTCCATTGAAGTCCATCATCATTCTCATTTCATAGATTTTCCCTATCTGTGAAGATATGCAAATATGAAAGAGAATCAAATAGTTAACATTGAAATTGCACTAATACAAGTACCAGTCCAGTAGAATCTTGTGTGCACTATTTGTGCATGCACATTTTTCTGTTACAGGGTGCATAAGGCTGTGCCATGTACTTGTCCAGAAACACAAGATACCACCTATATACAGTACATAAAGAAGCTAGATTCCAAATATGTGTGATAGGGGTTTTCAGCTACTGTACTCTACACTTGTGGGCAAGAAAAGTAAGGCATGGGAGCTCAGGGTAGAGCTCCCATGCCTTACTTTTGCTGCCCACACTTGTCACTATATGATTGTACAAGCTCCATTAGATTTACTCTATAGGAGTATATACAGCATATTGCTTTTGGTTGCTTTACCGACCTGTTTCAAGCGTGTTCTGTACTGCATTCCAAATGTCACTGTGTTAGTTAGAGGTGGTGCTGGGGTTACCATTCTGTGTTCCCAGCCATCCAACAGTTATATAACAACATATTTAGCCATATGTGATTGATGGATGACAATGGAGCAAAGGAAAAAATTGGCTATTGTCAATGGGAGCATAGATTTTATTTTGCATCCTGCAGTTTGAAACTATCATGCCATGAATAGGAGGTTAAGATTTAAAGGTGTTTGACTCTTACTGAATATTCATTAGAAGCAGGATTCCAGTGTTTTTCTAGCATGGAAGGAAGTTGGAATGGTTAGAATTTCTGTTGGGTTTTTATTGCCAGTGAACTTCCCTTTGACTGCTCAGTATGACTGTCTGTCCTAATACCATTCTCATTGGGACAGAAAGTTAAGGACATCTAAAATGTTACAGCTGCCACTGGAAAAGGAGTAGAAGGGAAGTTTGCCAATGAAGACACTAGTGACTAATCCCAAAGGTAAAGATGTTCTTTCCTTTCTTAATGTCACTTGAGGATTCTGCATACTGCACACATGCTATACAGGTCAGACATAAATGTAGCATATATCTAAATTTGGCTTGCAACAGCACTGTTTATCATAAACAGCTGCAATGTTTTTTTTTTCTTTTCTAAAATGCTGTTTTCACTTTTTCTATCCTTTGTATCTCAGTGCTGCTGATCTCATCCAGTCTCTTTACCAACTTTCTGTCCACATGCACACACTGCACTATTGGCTGCTACATCTACTTAAATAGACCCTATCACCAGTAAATTCCTTTTAACAACAATCTTCCCATAAGACTATATGTGGGTGAGGTAGTCCAATTTTCTAGCAAGTTCAAAGGTACATTGCAAGTTAAAAAAAAAATTATGGCAAGAATAAAACTCTGCAATTAAGCATTTAAAATATTATGTTTCCATGCTTTTATCTTCTAGGTTGTGGCAGGGTCTGTTTAATTACTTAATTGTATTATTCCAGTTTTCCCTGTCTACAATGTACAGTATGTTTTACCTTTTCACATAATGGTATGAGTTCATCCTCAAAAAGATCACGAGGAAGTTTGCCAACGAAGATCTCACAGCCTCGTTCTGGAGGTAGACCATCCCATCCTGGAGGAGGACCTCCATATCTTCTCTGGCCATTTTCCTGTTGAAAAGAGAGAATTAACTATTTTTTTTAGCAAGAATACAAGTAAATATTATTTTATAATCTAGAAAAGTTTGTTATAGAAGTTACAAAATTTATGTTAGAGAGCCAAATTTCAGGGGAAAAAAAAGTTTACCCTTGCATTTGGGCTGCCTTTGCACTGCAAGGGTTACCTTCTCTTTTATGCCCAGGGGACAGGAAACATCTATTTTACTTACTTGATCCCTGCTCCTGCCAGCTCCCTCCAGGTTGCTAGTCCACTCTCTGCAGCCTTTTCTTCCCTTTGCTCCGACTAAGGACTAAGGACTGCAGTCTAAGGACTGCTTAGATTGTCATAGTAAGGAACAGTTTACTGTCAGAGCAGAGGGGGAGAAGAAGAGAGTGCCGACTGCGGGTGAGTGTGGATCAGGTAAATAAACACAGCTTTCTTATTTCTCTCCCCTAGACATACAGTAAATGAGAAGTTAACTCTTGAAATGAATAACTCTGGGCAAAACATTTATTAGCCCTTGAAATGGGGTTACCCCTGCACTGCAAGGGTTAAGTTCTCATTTTTGCAGTTAACACTTGTGGTGCGGGGAAGCCCCACTGCAAGGGTTAATAAAAGTTTTGCCTGGAGTTCTTCTTTAAACTAAATTTCAACATGTTCAAAATTATACTTCAGCCAGAGATGAATGACATTTGCCACATTACACAACATTCAGTTATTTATTGGTACATTACAAGATCTTGTTCTTAGCCTTAAAGTGGACCTTTACCCCCTTTCACTAACAATCACATCAGCAGCTCTGCATGCTGATATAAATCATCTTACATTCATTAGTTAAACTTGATTTTCATTTTCATAGAGTTCATCTGCTTCCTGGTCCAGTTCTGGCACAAATGATGTAATGTGCCAAAGTGTTGGATGTTGGGAAGATTACATCAGCAGAGCATTGCTAGGAAATCTCATCTGTAATCTCATGAGATCTCAGGGAAAAGCATTTTCCTCCCCTGAGAAGATGTGCGTGGTCACATGTCCTTGTCATATGTGCCGGAGTTCCAGGAAGTAAAGTGAAAGCTAGTAATCTGCCCTGATTTAACATGCCCACTGTCGGAAGACTGGGGAGTAAAAGAGAAATAAGGTATGCAAAGAATACAAAGCCTGCAATTATCTAGAAGTATCTGTTTGAAGATTGTCATTACTAAACATTTCTAAAGGTGTGTTTGTTGTTATTTTTAAAAAATGAGTAAAGTTCCTCTGTAAATTCAGTAACTCATAGTTGGATTTACTTCAACATGAATAATTTATTATTGGTTGCTATGGATTGTTTAATTTAAGAGTAAGATTTATTTAATACTGCTGATTGTGTTGCTGCTTCATTATGTGCAACAGGTTTAAATAGCCGCATTGGTGAGGGTCGCTGAGTGAGAAGGTAGTACATGCCTAATCCTCACCCCCCTCAAAGCTGTGGAAGCTCTCCAACCTAAAATAACTGCAGGTCTATGAAAACAGCCATTCTTTATTAAGGTAGTACATATACACAGAATCAAAAGTCATTATCCAGACTATAGGGATGCTAGATGTAGTAGTATGATGTTTTGTGTATCTTTATGTGCACATATCATGTTCTGGCTTATTTTATTGGTCACTGAAAAGCTCCATCTTATAAACACTCAACCAATCTAAGTCTGGACATAAACATCCCAATAATTCCCCAATGTGACATCCTGATGCAATTATTTAGTTAGGGTTGGACCATTAGTGGTGCCTCCAAGGAGATGGTTACAAATGCTTCCGTCAGAAGTGCAAATTTGTCAGACAATTTGAATGAGAAGCAATGGCAAGCCAAAGCTATAAACACCTGTTGTTCTTGGGGAGACACGTGGTCATCTATAGCCAGCCTATCCGAATTCTGGAAACCTAAATCTGGTTAAATTTAGTCAAATCAAATGGTAAAAAAGCCAGTATAAATTTGCATCTGCGTTAACCTATTCAAGGAGTGTGAATGCATAAACCTTAACTTATATCCCTCGTGGTTAGTAGCATCCAAGGTAGATCTATTATTACTGACCTAGAGCTTGAAAGTAAGCTTAACCTATATGTGTAAAGTACATTACAGGTACTGCCATAACAGTCTTTAAAAATATTTATTGTAAAAATCCAAAACAGCTTCGTACAAAAAGAAATTCAGTTCTACCTTTAATAATGCTTCTGAGGATGTGTCATTAAAACAAGTAAACATATACTGTAAACAGTAATGTGTGAGGAATAATAAAACAAGCAATTATTTATTTTTTACATTGTGACAGTAAATGTAATGTTTATGGGAAAAGGAGCCTATTTATGAAATGCTGAAATCAGTATTTTAATCTTTTTTTTCCAATTCCATATTTAAAATGTGTATCAAAATGGTGCTGCTTATTTTGTAACATTTTAACTATGTGGTATTTAATAATATTACATTTTTACATGACATTATTGTGAATTGTCAAATTATGAATTAATCTCTATTCAGGTCTCCTTAAACCTGGTCTAATCTTGGCTTATTAATATACCTTAATCTTACATTTGATAACAGTGGAAAAAGCTTTGCTCCTTTTTACCAGGGAATATCAGTTGATTTTTTTTACTCAGTTCCTAAGGGGACGCTGTTACAGTTTTTGGTTGACTGTACATTTTTTAAAACATTTACAAGTTTATAAACTATGTTATAATTGTATTACTATTTGAAGATCACTATTATTATACAAATAAACATTTAGTACAGGATGCTTTCATTTTTCCCTAAAGCCAGAGCATGCTGGGCTTTCTAATGAGAAAGCCTAGCATTAGCTTTGCATTTGTTGACTGCTACTAAAGATACAGATTCATGTCTCTGTTAGCACTGAGAGAAGTAGTATTCTTCCACTGTCTATGTAATGTGATCTGCTGCTATTCAGAAGTAGCCATAAATCAGACTTTTATATAAAACTGGCATTCTAAAACCATTCTGGAACTGGCTTCTCACTTGCTACCTGCTGGCTTTTTGTCTTTGTCTTTTGTCTGCAAAAATACTATAGCTTTGGGATCACTGATTTCCTTTGTAATATATAAAAACTGTTAAAAAAATGAATACTCATTTTTTATAAATGGGTGCACAAGCATACCCAAAAATGATTATTCTGCTTAGGATAGTTGAATTCCTCAAGCCACCTGTCAAGCAGTGTTATGATAAATTACTTAAACAAGGTTGACATGTAGTCTGAGAAAAACTCAGGCAAATGGTGAAGACAAAATCTTGATGGAAGTCTTCCCCATTGTGGTCTCCAAGTTTACAAATGTTATTGACACAGCATTATCTGCCCAAAACTGTTATCACTTGTGGGATTTCTTATTACTATAAGTAACACCTAAAAGATTACAAGAAAGTGTATAATTTAAGTGAAAACATTTACTGTCCTCCGCATGTGAAATACAGATCAAATTAAATATTACTGATAACAGATATTCACTGAATCCCACAACTGTATATCTGTAGAGAAGTATGGCAGTACTGTCACATACTGTAGACACAAAGCAAAGGGCATTATACACTGCATGCAGCATACAGGAACATTACAGTACATTGGAATTGACTATTTTTACAGTAGTGCATGAAAATATTCAGTCAATATCCTGTTGCACAACTAAGATCAAACATTTAAAACAATGGCGAGACCTGTTCCTGGTATAACAAAAATGGGAGATGGGATGAACATTTAATGACTCATTAGTAAATCAGTTACATGTGAAACACCATTTGGACACAATTCAAAACAATATCATCACTATTAATATCACATTATGTGCATTTGGACACTATTTATAGTTGCGAGCTGCAGCAGTTCATGTGCTGAAAGTTACGCATGATCTCCCAACAGATGTGTAGATTTTTAGGGAAAATGGTTGAAGGTGTGCTTTTAGGTGGAATTTTAATATATGCAAGGCTTGAAAAATCTGGGTGTCCTCTCGCCTGTGACGAGAGGACGGCGGAGCCAGACGAGTAGCTTCCCGGCCGGCCATTGTAATTACACGGCTGGCCGGGAGCTTTACATTCAAGCGATCGGGCGTCTCTAGACACGCCCGATCGCTTTTATTAGCAGCATCTGTCACTGCCGTTGCCGGTCCAGAGATCCGCTGTGCCCAATGCGGCTGGGACCAACATGGCTGGTGTGCCTGGTGCAGCTGGGACTAACACCCCTCTCATCCCCTCTCCAGTAGCCGAATGCAGGAAGTGATGTATATAACATCACTTCCGCATTCTGCTGTCACTCTACAGCTTCAGAAGCTGGGGAGAAGCCGGTGAAGTGGGCCCCTAGGTGGCATTAGGGGTCTTGGAGCTTCTTAGCCCCCCATGTGATAGCAATAAAGCTAAGTGTAAAAAAAAAAGAAGAGTAATAAAAAAATGAAAGCATAAAAAAACACTACATTTTTTTTAAAAATCCCCCGCCCCCCACATACACATGCAAACATGCGTCGGGTGAGCCTACATGCAAAAACAACGATTTCGCCTATTGTGCTGCACATGTTGCATATCACCGCAAACGTCGGAGTGAAAGTAATAATGTTATGGCCATTATGCGCTGATAGCACTAAACCGATGAGCGGTAAAAGCGGTAAACGCGTTTAAAGTGTAGCTTATGGCAAATTTTCGGTGGTGTTGTTTTTCTTGTGATTTTGCGGGTGCAAAGGCTTGACATGTTTGGTGTCTATTTACCCGACGTGACCCCATCTTTTTTATTTTACAAAAAATATGGGTAAGAATAAATGTTTTCTAACATAGCGTAGGGAAAACATTACAGTACTTCTTTCATTATATAGTAATAAATACCCCCCCCCCCTGCGGTGATTATATACCTCCAAAAGAAAGCTCTATGTGTCCCCAAAAATATTAACATAAATTGCAGGGCTATAGTCCGCTCATGCTGACTGGTGAAATTTTTGACTGACTGGTGAGTCACCCTAAAATTTTGAAAGCCCTGAATATATGTAATGCCTAGTTTGTTACCCAAAGCATGCAGAAGTGGGACATCATAAAGATGGCATACCCACCACTGTCACACTACTTTTTTTTTCAAACACTCCAATCAAAGCTGCATAGCTATTTATATTGCATATTAATTAGAGTCAACTAATTGAGCTTTGCTCATGCTTCGTGGGCCTCTTGTTTTGTTCTATACTGCAGATACAATTAGGTTATGCAAAGTGCTTTTGTATCCTGCAAATATTATTTGTTGTTTGTTAATTTGTGATGGCCATTAAACCCCAACAATCTGTGTGTGTTCTACAGTGTTGGGGCAAGATCCTCTTACAATCAAAGCCAGGGTGCCAATGTGCACCCACTCCAAGCTTTTTAATTTGGCTCTGCAAAACACATACAAAACCAAATTAAAAGATTTGCATACAAATGGTAAAAAAGGAGGGAGTAAATGAGTTAATTAAAATGAATTAGGCCTAGCTACAATTTTAATTGCAACATCCCTACCACAGAGTAGTGAGACTGTCAGGCACTCACCCAGGGGGAACATGGGGATAGGAGGGGACGAGGGTGAGAGGATGGGTGATTGCCTGACACTCTCACTACTCTGTGGTAGGGATGTTGCAATTAGGGAGATACAGAGTGATTAGAGAAAATGGGGGAAGGGAAGAATGCAGGTAAAAGGACGGGGGCAATATTGCACGGAGGATTATGGTGAGAGGGTGGCAAGGCACTTATGCATCCAGAGCCATGCTGCTACACAACTGTTCCCTTGCTGCAGAGCCATACAGTTCATTGCACTCTCCTTTCTCATGTGGCTGCACCTCAGAAACTGTCTCTCAGAGGTCCAGCTCTAAAGTTCACCATATATGTTACAACCTGATTGTACAATCTACTATAATACTTTCTGTTGAGATGATGAGACATCATTTTATAATGCAAACATATAAAAGTATTGTACATTTGGCCAAAAAAAAA